GCCTTGGTAAAGAGCTGCTCAATGTCTTCGAGCACGAGACCCTTCGTCTCCGGGCACTTGAAGTACACAAACGTCATCGCGAGGAAGCAGAGACCCGCAAAGAGGTAGAAGACGCCGTTGATGTTGATGTACGGGAAGAGCTTGGGCACACCGATCATGACCGCGCCCATGGCCCAGTTCATCATGGTCGACACCGAGACCGCCTTGGCGCGCACGTTCATGGGGAAGATCTCGGCCGGGTAGATCCAGCAGATCGGACCCCACGAAATCGCAAAGTTGAAGATGAACACCATCGTCGAGATGACCATGACCCAGCCCGCGCTCTTGGAGCACCCGAGCGACACCGTGTCACCGTCGCAACCGATCGTAAACGCCGTCGCCGAGACAACGTGGCCGACGACCATACCGATACCGCCGATGAGGAGCAAGCTGCGACGACCGTAACTGTCGACCCAGCGCATGGCCGGGATCGTCGAGAGGAAGTTGACGATTTGGATCATGAGAAGACAGATGATGCCCTGGTTGAGCACGTCCTTGAAGATCTGACCGCCGTACGCAAAGACGGGGTTGACGCCCGTGGCTTGCTGCAGCACTTGGAGGCACATGGCAATGTACAGGCGGCGGCGGATCGACGGGTCGGTCCAGACATCCGACCACGTGGTCTCGGCCGTGCCTTCTTCTTCGAGGACGTCGCCGATCGCGTTGAGCTCTTCGTCGACGTTGTCGTTCTTGCGCAGGCGCTTGAGCTGGACCGCGGCGGGCTCACGACCCTTGGCCTTGTACGTCCAGCGCGGCGACTCGGGCACGCAAAAGATACCGAGCATGACGACAACGGGGAAGAAGAGACCGATGCCGACCGTGATGCGCCAGCCTTGGTTGACGTCCTGGACGATCGCGTTGATGATACCGGCAAGCATGATACCGGTCACACCCGCCATCTGCATGAGACCCGAGAGCATACCGCGGAGCTCCTTGGGGGCCATCTCGGCGCCAAAGACGGGCAGCGAGAACGAGGCGTTGCCGACGCCAAAGCCTTGGATGACACGGGCGACAAACACTTGAGCGCGCGCGCCGTGGCCGGCCGTGACGAGGATGACGCTACCGGTGCAGTACAAGACAGCAGCCGAGAAGATGGTGAGGCGGCGGCCGTACTTGTCGGCCGTGTAGCCGCCGATGATGGCGCCAAACATGCAGCCGACGTAGTAGAGCACGTTGTAGACGGTGGTAAAGTTGATCCAGTTGTCCGGGAGGTTGGCGGTGGACGCATTACAGGCGGCCTCGGTGTTGCCGCCGTAGCCGATGCAAAAGTCGGCGAGGAACGAAGGCATGACCATAACGCCGCCAGCGACGCCGTTATCGTAGCCAAAGAAGATGCCGCCGAGCGACGCAAAGGCGCAGACGCAGACCGCGTAAAAGTTCTCACGGAGGGGCGACGACAT